TAGAATTTATATTGTATATGTATTGTTCAAAAAATAGGGATCAAAAAAATCGTATATAACATTTTTGTCGTTTTCAAGCATAACTTATTATATACTAAACTGGTGTTAAGTCCGGAGTTTACAAGTTTGCTATTCAGATTCGTAGATCAATTGGGGTCGATTATTTCGTCGACTCAATTCTTGAGCGGGGGGAACGCGGACATTTTTATCATATTGCATAGACATATGTAGCCTTACGCTTATGATCTGGACTAAATATTATACGAAATATACAGAATATACAATATATTATAATTGTTCGATTATTATGGTCAACCCTCGTATATATCCAAGAAATACAATAAATAAATGTCACATCTATAGATAAGAAATTCTATTTCGCTTTCTTGTCCACAAAAATCATTCTAATTAACAATGAATGGTGCCACTCCAACTTGGTGCCCGAGTCTTCTAACGAGCCTTCATCTATTCCGTGATCCTCAGAGTTGCTGTCACTATTACAATGTTTCACCCAACACAGTAGAAAGAAAATTTGATTTAAGATTTAATGTAAATTGTATATCAACTGCAATATTTAAAATTTCTATTTTAGTTATTTTAGTATTTCGTTGATTTTGCGAAAGCTTCTAAATTTGTATTGCTTAAAACATGTTTTAACTTGCTGCAAACAGTATTACAGTATTTGCTATATAATATAGTATATGCGCTCTTCTTTATTTAGCGTTGGAGATGAATATTTGCTACTAAATACATACAGTATGTCTAATGACTTAAAGCATATATAACCTCTACCTTAGAATGCCTTTGTATGAATAGAAAAGACGTCGGTGGTTAGTAATTTTACATCCTGTCAGTCTATTATAAACCATTTCAATTATAGAATGTTGCAATTAACAGTCAACTCCAGCTTTGTTATTTAAAAGAATTTTTTTTTCTTTTTCTATAAACAATTGTTTTTTACCCTTGAAATTGAATCCAATATGAATAAATAAAGTTAGTCTTTACTATGCATATCGTATCCCATATAGGTT